AAAACATCCACCCCCCCCCCTATCCAAGCAACCAAACTCAGAAAATATGAAGCATAATGACCGACATCCATCTTTATTAAGAATTGTATAATAGTTTTCTACTTTCCTCTTATTTCAGCAAAATGTTCATCCGTCTTATACAAAGCTATGGAAGATTCCATCATTATTTCATATTAACTAATGCAATATGTTTTACAATATTTTTTTTTTAACCTATTGAACAGTTCATTCACATTTTATGTAAATTAATAGAATGTTCTGTTTTTTTATGTAAATTAATGGAATATATTATTAGATGTAAAATACTGGCATATTCTGTTTTATGTAAGTTAAAGGAATATTTTATTTTATGTAAAGTATTGGATAGTTAATTAACTTTTTTACATGTAATTTTCTGTAAAAGGAGTATTCTTTCTTTTTATGTAGAGTAATGAGCAATTCCTTCACTTTTTCACATAAGCTAATGGCCTATCTTTTCACCTTTTTAGAATAACCTGAAAGACTAGCCTTTCACTCTTTTATGAAAGCTTATTAACAATTCCTTTATTATTTTTTTATGTAAAATAATGAAGTTGATTCCTTTTAATGTAACGTGATGGAGACTAATATATTTATGTGAACTGAGAGACTCTCTTCCTTGGCTTATTCATAAGAAAATAGTATTAAATTCTTTTACTTTTTATGAAAACGAATGGACTGTATGAAGTTTATATTATATGTAAACTAAAGATAATACACAGTTACTTCGCCCTTTTTACATTAAATTAATGGACTTCATTACCTTTTTTATGTAAACTTATAGAATCTCATAAAGATATAACACACACTTCCTTCGCCTTTCTAAGTAACGTAATGAAGTTATTCTTCATCTAAACATATGAGGTTCATGATCTTTTAAAGTAAACAAAGAGGCCCTTTTTCCTTCCCATATTCATACACAAATAACATACTATTCCTTCGCCCTTTCTATAAACAATTCTCTTCACTCATCCATAAAAAAAATAAATACGATTTATTTACTCATTCTTATGTAAACTAATTTCCTGCTCCTTCTCCACAGCTCGAGTATGACTTCAACTCCAACAGTCTAAGTGTGACCGTCATACAGTGTGAGGAGTTGCCAGCACTGGACATGGGTGGCACGAGCGATCCCTATGTTAAGGTGAGCAAATTTTCGCTGTTGTTATTTTTTTTCTGTGGAAGCTAAATGGACAAGGTAGTATGTAGGATGAATAGGACAGAACGTTGCTTTGTTTTTTTCTGTGTGATAGGCTCAGATAAAAAGAAAAATAATGATTTATTTCTATGTGGACTGCTGAAGTTCCTGATAGGTGCTCAGATAATTGGAAAAATTGGAATGTTAATAATTTTTTTCTTTTCTTATTTTTTAAAATATTCTTATCCATTTTCCTTTTATTTCAAATGTTCTTTCTTCTCTCTCTCTCTTTGTATTTTATATTTTTCTTACATTCTAAGTATTTCACTTTCTCATTCTGCTGTTCTCCGATTTTCTCCTTTCCTCCTTGTCGAATTTTCAACTTTTCTTTCTTTTTTTCATTCTCCCCTCTCTTCCCTCTTAGTCCTGCTTTCTCCTATTTTCCCGATTATCTCATTTTCTCTCATTCTCCCCTTCTCTTCCCCGTTAGTCCTGCTTTCTCCTATTTTCACGATTTTTATTTTTTTTTCTCTCATTCTCCCCTTCTCTTCCCCCTTAGTCCTGTTTTCTCCTATTTTCACGATTTTTATTTTTTCTGTCATTTTCCCCTCTCTTCCCTCTTAGTCCTGCTTTCTCCTATTTTCCCGATTATCTCATTTTCTCTCTCATTCTCTCCTTCTCTTCCCCCCTTAGTCTTGCTTTCTCCTATTTTCCCGATTATCTCATTTTCTCTCATTCTCCCCTTCTCTTCCCCCTATTTTCCCGCTTTCTCCTATTTTCCCGATTATCTCATTTTCTCTCATTCTCCCCTTCTCTTCCCCTTAGTCCTGCTTTCTCCTATTTTCCCGCTTTCTCCTATTTTCCCGATTATCTCATTTTTCTCTCATTCTCCCCTTCTTTTCCCCTTAGTCTTGCTTTCTCCTATTTTCCCGATTTTCTCATTTTCTCTCATTCTCCCCTTCCCTTCCCCTTAGTCCTGCTTTCTCCTATTTTCCCGATTATCTCATTTTCTCTCATTCTCCCCTTCTCTTCCCCTTAGTCCTGCTTTCTCCTATTTTCCCGATTATCTCATTTTCTCTCATTCTCCCCTTCTCTTCCCCTTAGTCCTGCTTTCTCCTATTTTCCCGATTATCTCATTTTCTCTCATTCTCCCCTTCTCTTCCCCCTTATTCTTGCTTTCTCCTATTTTCCCGATTATCTCATTTTCTCTCATTCTCCCCTTCTCTTCCCCCCCTTAGTTTGTTTTCTCCTATTTTCCCTCTTTCTCCTATTTTCCCGATTATCTCATTTTCTCTCATTCTCCCCTTCTCTTCCCCCCTTAGTCTTGCTTTCTCCTATTTTCCC